CAACAAATTGATTGAAGACATTTGTGGATCATGCAATTGAGTTTTCAATAGTACGAATTGATATTTTTAGCAGAATAGATTTAAATTGTGTTTGACTTACATAAGATTTTAAGAATATAGACGCTGGTCATGTGTACTTTTTTTTTGTCTCATATTCAAAACAATTGATATTACTTTACTAGATACAGTTCAGATACGCTCTATTGCACATTCATCGTAAAAAAAAAGAGTCATCAAGCAGAAAAAAGCACATGCTATTAGGTTTTTTTTTGTCGCTTTTTACATTATTTTAATATCGGAATATATGATCAATATGCTCTTGTCAATGAAAAAAAAACTCTTAGCGTAATTCTTACGAAGTTGAAGTGTGAAACACGATGTAGCTTTTGTTGATAACCAAAAGGAAATTAGTTTATAATATCTATTTTGCGGCAAATTTTTCATCAGTTTTTGATTTAATCCTTCAGAAATGCAATAACAAACTGGTTCATGTATCATAATGAAATATTATTGCTATACGCTCTTAGATCGTATATCAACAACATCAGTCACGATCTGTGAGAAGAAGTCTAAATTTTTATTTCTAGGGACCATCCATAATGTGCATCCAAATAAAAATCACAGTTTTGTATCCCTATTTAGTTTCATCAATTTCTCCTTTCCCATATAGACGTCTAGTATAACAAAAGCTATTAGCACTATCCCTGTGAAATTAAAATATCGAACACAATGTAGTTACTGCAAATAATCATAAGAAAATGGTTTTATTGTATCTATAATTCACATACAATTGTTCACCATCGTTTTATACTTAATCCTTTCGCAATGTAATACTGAACCAACGTATATTTCATAAACAAAGACGAATGTGAATTTTTTTTGAGTAACTTTAATAGAAACAAGATAGAATACTTTGGTTTTCATTTTTGTAAAGAGAAGATGAAGACACATCGAATAGTAATCATAAGATTTATTGACATAGTTCTTTTAAGGTTTCAATCGACATTTTTGAAAACCAACGTATCCTGTGAGATAACTGTAATGTATTGTCAATTATCAGGTGTGCATCTAAACTTCTAATGGAAGATCTATAAAACTTCGCAAGCTTTAGATTCATAGATATAATCATAAGTATTCTAGTCAACGTTCTCGGTTGAGTTTTTCAGCAACAACTATGAAGAAATTACTCAATAGGACTTCATTTATTCTTGCCAATGGTGAAAAGTGATACGCTTTATCTCGTTTCTATCAAAAAGTTACTCAAAAAAAAAATTTATCAACTTTTTTTTAAATGGGCATTTATTTCTATACTATAATGAAACATTATTAATATACGATCTGTCATGTCCATGGAGAGTTTAAATGTCGACTCATATGCTTCAATACTCCTTTCAAATCGCATTTCACAAAACAACGTTCTAGTAAGAATCATATGATTCAACCTTCGTACTAAATAAAAGTTCATAAAAGAAATAATTGATTCCATTGCCCACTCACTTCAACATTCTTTTTGGATGATTTCCATTACTTCGACACTTCTTTTGGAACATACTCCAGAAAATTTGAAATTAATATGAAAAATCTATATCGTAAAAATATAATGAACACTCATTCCATAGATAAGATTTAAAATATTATTAATCACATTGACTTGAATAATATTCCAATCGTATCTCTCCTCTTTTAAAGTTGATCATTTGAAATTTTGTGTGAATACAATCTATGTGGCAAATTAGTCATATCATTTATTTCATATTTGCTTAAATTCAAATAGAATGATCGTGATTGAAAGTCGCTTCTTTTTTTAAATTCAAAGACAGAAAAACACCATAAACTGGCATCACTTGTTATAAATGAATAACTTTGGTGGCATATAATCTATTTGTTTTTTTTTGTTTGTCTATGCCTTGAGCATTAAGTTTATCTTTATTCATTGAAGCTAAAAATTGTAAAATACTTTTTGAAAATTCAATTAAATCTAAACAATATATTCGAAGAGAAAAATAAATATTCATAGTAATTTTCAAGTAAAATCAGCTGTACTTGTTTTTTTTTCTAAACTCTCTATTTGAATAATATCTTCAATACATGATACAAATACAACAAAATTCAAAAACGAAGAAAGTATCTATTCGTACTGAATAGCTCTCAATATTAATAAGAAATAAGTTTACCATCATGATTCATATTGAATTCATTGATTTATTTGCTTTTAACACTCATAAATGTATCTCATCTCACCTTTTCTTTCTTTCTTTTTTTTTGTCTAAGGAAGCATATTACATTCTTTTTCTCTATTTACCATTGTGATCATTGCTAGCATACATCTATTATCATCATCATCGCATATACATATATACAGAAATGAATGTGTACGTATGTATGTCTCAGTTTTAATTAGACAACATAAAGATGTTTGCCTATCAAAGATTGAAGTGTGTGTGTATGTGTGCGTCTGAAAAGGAATATTAACAGTGGCAGTTCCTTTTTTCATCATTGAAAATGAGAATGTATGAATGAATGATAAGATACATACTCTCTCCTGAAAGACAAATACACGCCCCTTCTCTTTCTCTTTGTCCACCTTACTGTTTCTATGTATTTCAAGAACATTTTCTGAACAAACATAATGGGGCGAAAATGCAAATTGACACGAAAAAAATATATATACATATACGGCATAAGAGAAATAAGAGAAAATGATAGTTATTTAGTATTTTCAGTTTCAATAGTTGACTATCAAACGTATTCAAGATGGATTGGAGACAATATGCCATGTCATTCTGGGTAAAAAAATCTGTTTTCTAAGCTTAATTTAGAAGTTAAAGATTTGAGACCAACATATGAATATAGATACTTCTTTAATTGCTAACGAATAGTTTGATACATTCCAAGATGCCTTCTATTAAAAGGATTTGCTGTGAAGACACTGGATTCTTAACTAATTTTTTTAGTCAATACCATGGTTCTCTTTAAAAACACCAAGGAAACTAATTTTTGAATTTCAACTTGAAACTTTGCATTGAGCAACAACAATGAAAATAGTTTATTAAGATAGTTTCAGGTCCTTCGATATCCTTACATTCTGAAATAAAAACATCGGATCTGTTGGTCTCTATACGAGCAATGTGAAAGAAACTTTTACCATAATTATCTATTAGGCAACGAACAACAAAAATATCAAAATTTCTCATCCTAAACTATTCTCTTTAAAATCTGTCTCTATTCAAAGTTTCAATTTGAAATTCTAAAATCACTTTTTCTCATATTATTGAAGGCTGCTACTACATAGACTTAAATATGCAATATTCTCCCAGCAATGAGCTAAGAGCTAAAACTGTTCCCTAGATATTCATAGCTAAGGATGTTCAGTATTAGCAAAAAGACTGAAACATTGATTACACTAATTTGGTGTTCACTGAAGCATTGACACAGCTATGTTCCAATGACTATCAGTCTCAGTTTTCGCAGAACAGTTTACTGAAACTGTACATCCATATTCACAGCTCATTAGAGCCTACATGATGTACAGCAATTAATCAATTGATGGACTTCTCTTGTTAGAGCAAGTTTTACTCTTTTTGCACCTCAAACTTTCTCACTAGACCATATAAAAAAAAATACCAAATACTCATTGCTTCCAGATAGTATGAACTACACCATTGATCATTTTTTCTTCATCTACTATTGTATAACATATGCAAATGTGTATGGCACAACTGAGTTGAGTATTTGCATTGTTCTAAATAGTTAAGCGAAAACTGTGAATAAGTATCTAAGTGATTGATTTGAGCTAGTGGAAAAAATTTTAACAATAGTGAGTTTTTTATTTTTTCTATAGTTCCAATCCAGACGGTGGTTTTAAAAGTCAGTAAAGTTTTCTATCTAATGCATTCTATAGAAAGATTTCATTGATGATAGCGTGTCTAAAAAACTTAACATGATAATTTTCAGGCCTCAAAAAATTTTATATTAGCTTTAGCCATTTGAAAGAATTACAAACTTTTGAACAAAATGAGAGGTCGCTGCATTGTCCATGATCGTCTTTAAAAAAACTTACAAGCATCAGAAAAAAACAAAAAAGGAGATTTTTCGATAGCTGTTAAAATCACTATTCTGCTTTTAAGCTAGGTGCTAAACATTATGGAAAAAAAAAAGTTTGTCCAAAATATTGACATTAATTTTCATTTATTGACCATTGTATAAACTATCCGTACATGTTCAATTTGATTATCCAAACTATTAGATTACCATTATATAAACAAGTATTTATATAATTGACTTTTATCACTTCATATATGCATTTCAACAAGCTCTTGAGGTTCTTTACTTTTCATAAGATCCCATAGGATATAACTTCACTTCATTTGTCTAATTCAAAAAAAGTTGTTATATAAGTTTTGAAAAAAGCTCATATTGTCGGTCTCTTTAATCGTGATCAAAAGAAAAACAATTACACATTCTCTCTCTTTTCTCTCTTTCTCTTCTAAGCAGAATGATTATCAATTTATGGTTAATATGCAATTAGCTATGTATCAAATGTTAACAAATTTCGCATCAAATTCAACACCACAACAAATTCCATCATTGCGATTTCGTTCTCCTACTGATCATCAATCACCAATAATAAATCATCAGAAACCAATTAAACGTCTTACTCACAAACGACAACGATTGGTGAAAACTAATAATCCGACTAGTGAGTAATCATTATCTTTGATAACAACATATATACTCATGAGAATAACCACCCATCTGGATTATTTTTCGTCACAAGAAAAAAATAAATAAAAACGAAAATGAATATCAATGATCTTTTCGATACTGTATTTATTGTCGATGATATTAATGGTAACCGTTTAAAAAAAAACGAAGGAAAAAAAAACCCGAGTCGTCTGTTCAATTCAGTTCACGTCTATTTGCTCTTTCTCGCCTCATATGTATATTGAATGATGGGAAAATTTCTCCAGACGCGTCAACAATGTTGACGAAACATTGAGAAGGAGAAAGAAGAAAAGAAACAAAACAAAAAAAAATATGATGTTCATTATATGCTCAACTTACTTTTTAAATAGGTAGTGGAACAGCAACAACAAGTAATTTAAATATGCCAACATCATCATCATCACCCGATGGGTATAATGTTCATTACAATGACGAAAAGTAAAACATCCCAGAAAATAAAAAACATCTCAAATTTTTTTTTTGTTTCAGTTATGAAGAACTTGAACATCGACCAGTAACACGAGAAATAATGGCTGCTTATTTATCAACACGTCATCATCGTACAGTGACAATACATCATGCTAAAGTAGCACAAAAATCATATGGAAATGAAAAACGGTAAGAAATTGAATTTAACGAAGAAAAAAACAAAATGTTAATCTTGTTTTTGTTTTTTGATAAAGATTTTTTTGTCCACCACCTTGTGTTTATTTATCTGGTGATGGTTGGAATCAGGATTTAGAACACGAAAATTTATGTATAATGATTAGTATTGGCGAACCATTATATCATAATGATAATAATGGTTCACCATCAGGTAATATAACACAATCAAGTGAAATGCAACATTTACCTTTTGAAAATGGAAAAGTAAAATAAAAAAGAAATTTTAAATTTCTTCAATTTTTTTATTTTATTCATTTAGCGTTTTGGTGCAGCGAAAACTTTATTTATATCGGATTCTGATAAACGTAAACATATTAATTTAAATGTTAAAATGATGTATACGAATGATTTTCGTGATAATCCTTATATTGGAATGTTTGAAAGTCGAAAAATTAAAGTTATATCAAAACCATCAAAGAAAAAACAATCAGTTAAAAATGCCGAATGTAATTCATTTTTATTAAATTTGTTATTTTTTGTTTTTTCATTTAATTTTTTTTTTTTAATAGCAGTATGTATTCAATCGGGTACGAAAATTGCTTTATTTAATCGTCTTCGGTATGGATATAAGAAGAAAATTATTTTCAATAGAAAATTTATAAAATCATTTTTTTCTAAATTTTAGAAGTCAAAATGTTAGTACGAGATTTTTACATGTCGATGAAAAAAATCAATTTCATGCAAGTGCACAAGAATGGGGATCATTTTATATACATTTAGTTGATAATGAAGAACCATGTATGGAATCAACTAGTTTTTCAGTTAAAGAAGGTTTTGTTCAATATGGTTCAACAGTGAAACTTGTATGTTCAGTAACGAATCAAGCATTACCTTATTTGGTAAGTTTTATTCTTAAGCTAATATTTACATTAGAAAAACGTGCTGTTGAAAGAAAGCGGGATATAATTTTAAACTGATTCATGTTTAGTATTCATCCGAAATATTTATTGATGTTAATCGATGTCTATAGAGAATGTATTATAGTGTTCAGAATTTCTAAATTAAATTATAATTTCTGAGAAACTAGATATTTTGTTGGGAGATGATCATGAAAGAAAGTCTCCAAACTGATTAATCACTTTTGGATGGGAACTATATGCATTAAGTAGATTAGATTGATCGATGAATATCCTGAAAAGAGTTCGTGTGCTTAGCTTATTGTTGTATAGATAGTGCAAACTTACGAGCGTTTCAAAATGAATGCCACGACCTCTTCAGGAAAACTGATTTTCGACTTGAAACTTTGTTGAGAGATACTCTTTGATGAGTATATTTTGCAAAAGTCTCAGAATTTTTGAATTACTTCTATCCTGAAGTAAGAACATTGAAGTAAGTGATGTACCAGACACACGCCTCCATTTTCCTATCAACAAATATAGATTCCCATGTCTACATTGTGCCCCAGAAAGACTTCAAGCCGCTTTAATCTTGAACTGCACGAAAATGTTCATTATCTGGGATGGACTTACCATGAATTTCTCCTATATAAGTGCTTGTGATCGGTAAATTTTTGAGGCGAAGGGTTAACATTAACAGGAGATATCGGTCATCTGTCAACAATTCTGATCAACTGTCATGTAAAGACTACTTCTTAAATTAGGATTACGAAAACTGTTTGATATGAAATTTTATGAGTGATAGAGACAGCATTGAACTATCTGATCGGAAGTCTACTATGATGAGGAGAGTGGCAAAGTTGATAAGTTGATTCTTACTAAAGTTATTCAGATTTTGAGAAGCACAAAGAGGATTAAACGTTTTTCTGAGCATTCGTGATCAAAAAAGACAACAATATGGTGTAGAAGAACGAAAAACACATAAACATTTTGTATTGTTTCAAAATTGTGACGAAATCAAAATGTTTTATCGAAAATCAAAAAAAAAAAACAATATTTTATTTTTTCAGGTTATTCGAAAAGTTGATAAAAACCGAGTATTATTAGATTCTGATGAGCCTGTTTCACAATTACATAAATGTGCATTTGAATTCAAAAGTGGACCATCATCATCATCATCGAATTTACTTTATTTATGTTTAGCTGGTGATCGTATTGTTGGTATTGCGGTACGAATATAATTTTTTTCTTCTCTTGAAAGAAGAATTTTTCGTGTCATGATTTTAGGGTAAACCATGTCCGAATGAACGTTTTCGTGTTGATATTAATGATTCAGCTTGTTGGACAATTATATCAACTGACAAAGCTGAATATACATGGTTTGAAGCTAGAGGTCCAGTATCACATCCAATTACACCTGTTCCAGTTGCTAGACATATTGTTGTATGTATTTAATATTAGTAATTTTTCTTTTAAGATTTTTCTGTTATGTTTTTTTTTTGAAATGTTAGGTTGATGGTGGTGGTACAGCTGCAACAATTGAATTAACTGGAGAAAATTTTGCACCAGGTCTATCAGTATGGTTTGGAGAAACTGAATCACCATTTACAGATTATCGGTACGTTTTTAACTATTTTTTTAATCTAGAGTAGGTCTTTTTTTGATAATTAGATCAACACAAACAATTGTTGCTGAAGTTCCTCAATTTTCATCAGTAATGCCAAATCTGCCATGGGTTCAACGTCCTGTATCAACTCCTATTTCACTTGTACGTCGTGATGGTATCGTGTATTTAACATCATTAGTTTTTACATATACACCACAACCAGGGCCTGCTCGAAAAAATTCACCATCACCAAGTGCTCTTCTTCCTCCCACATCTGACAATAATTTTTGTGAATAAAAAAAATATTAATAAAAACAATGTTTTTTCATTTTTTTTGTGTGTTTTATTCTATATGCTTGTTGATGCTCGTTTTTTTTTGTATACAAAAGAAATCAGACTTATAAAGAAGAAGAAGGAGGTGATTTTGTTTGTTGTGAAAGCATTTTAAATGTTGATCGACCACTTTTTCCAACATAGGAAAGCCATGATACTCCTGTTGAAAGTGCAGATAATATGTATATTACTGACATCCAACCAGTATTATGATAATCAAAGATTGGTGCTGCCATACATAAAGTTAACAGACCAACTTGAACACCTGTGTTAACCTACAACGATATTTAATTGATAATTTGTAGTTTTTTGCTAAAATAAAATGTAAAGTCTGTTACCATAACTTAATTCATAAATGGAATTTGCTTTTTTTGTTGTGTATCGTTAATAATAATATTATAGGTTTTTCAGGTGTCTAAGAGTTCTTTTACTGAGAAATACGTAGGATATATTTTCGATAATGTGCAGATTTGAATGCACCTTGATATGTGAATGGATTTCACATATCGATCTTAAAAACACTTCGAAGTCGGAATAATTTTTCAATAGAAAAGTAATGTTCAGAGCTGAGTTAAAGAAACGTAGGTATAAGGTCAATAACTTGGCAGCGAAAATAGCTAACAATCTGCTGTTTTTAGTAATCGAAAGAGAAACCCTCGGAGAATCTTTTTGTCTGATATCATCTAACACGGGAACAACACGTCTGATTGATAATCTTCGTTTAACTCCTAGGTAATGAATTTTCAGCCTATTGCAGGATACAAGGAGAAAAGTTGCAGTAAAGTGTTTCTACTTGAGACTTTTCCTAGTAATAGCTCTTATGCTTCTTACAGTATCTTGAAAGTTTCAACTCAAACGAATGTTACCTTTGCAAGATAACACATTTACAAGAAACGTTACATTCACACATGAGCTTCAAATATAGCTCAGTTTTTAGGCATAGGATATCTTAAGAAGAAATCAGCCATTTGAGCTAAAACTTTTAGAATATGACAAGGATCATGAGATCTATTGTTTGGCGAGACATGCAAGGATGCATTTTGAATACTCGAATATTGAGACAATTTACAGAAGAGTACTAGACTAAGATTTTTATGAGATGAGAGATGGAAGAGATCTATGGCTTCTATAGTTGCAAAAGTCATGGGATTAAACAGTTTAACAATGATTCTCAACAGGAGTTCACAGTCCACTCATTGCTTATTTTTATTTACTCATTTTAGAAATTTTCTTGTTCTCACTTCAAAATTCAATTAAATTTATTTAATTATATGTTAAAGAATTTTCTCGAATAGATATATGAATAATAATCTTACATACTTTACTAACAAGTGTTGGATAAAGTTGTACAGTAGCATTTTTCATATTTAAAATTTTCTTTAATGTTCTTGGTGGTGGAACAGATTTAACTCGAAGATAACCTGCAGCACACATTATCGCAATATCACGACTTAATATTAAAGCAAGGAGCCATAATGGTATAAGATGAACATAAGCAAGTGATATAACAACAAAACCAACAAGCATTTTATCTGCAAATGGATCAAGAAATGAACCTAATGCAGATGCTTGTGATGGATAACGACGTGCAATCCATCCATCAATTAAATCAGTTAAACCTGATATTATAAAAAGTGATAATGATAGTGAATAATGATGATTTATAATTAAGTAACCAAGTATTGGTGATGCACCAATACGAGCAAATGTAAGAATATTTGGTATTGTCCATACACGATCAGTTTTTTGTTGGCTAGATGGTATTGTTGAGAGTAATTTACAATGAAAAGAATATTTTGTACGAGGTAGAACCAGTTCGGATGATAACTGAGTAGGATATTGTTGTTTTTTAAATGCTACTAAACGAAATAGACAAGAACGACATTGTAAATTTACTGTAAGTAATGAACGACGAAATAATAATTGTCCGAGTATTAACATCTTAAAAAAGAACAAAAAAAAAGAAATGAGAAAAGGAAAATGATTGTTCTCTCTGTATCATATGATCAAAAATCGATTTTTATTTGCGCAGCAATCCAGTTGGTAATTTAGATGTTTTTTCTACACATCGAATAGTTAATGAAATTCGTGTTTTACGTTTTAATAATTGTTCATCTTTATCCTTAATATTATCATTACATCGATCAAAATTACTTATATTCTCTCGATTAATTATGTCTTCTTGACGTTCTTCAATGCCATGCAAGTAATGTGAATACATATCATCTTTAACCATAAATAAACTACGTGGTTCAAGAAGAACTCGAGCAACACAACGATCAGAAAATGGTGAAACATCCTAAATAAATAAATAAATAAATATTCATCAGAATCATTGCAAATCATTGCTTTTTGACAATTTGAACAAGAAAAGTCATGAGCACAATTCCTGCGAGATGAAAATATGAAACATAATACAGCTGCTGTTGTTAATCAAAGGAAGTTTGTTATATTCAGTCTATTTTGGAACATATTTTTTCACTATTCTTTTGCTTAATCTTTCGAAAATGCAATAAGAAAATAGTTTCTGTATTATGACAAGACGTTATTAATATACGATCTTTGATTTTATATCAACAACGTTTGTCACGGTCTGTAAGACGGAAGGAGAGCCTTGTTAAAGTATTTGTGACAGTCTATTGATTCTGTCTATTAGGCTTATGGAGGAGTACCGATGCAAATGTTTGGTCTCTATACTTCAACATTCCTATTAGATCGTATTTCACAAAAACGGTTACATAGACTATATGAGAGACATTCATAGGAGTGCATGACGTCTACTGCTTTTGAAATGTCTTCACGCAATGTTATTTTTCTAGGGCTCAACCAATTTGCAATTCCTTTTCATCGTCAGAGCCGAGTTATGCCTCAGATAGATTGTGAGGATAATTTCATTCAAAATAAACAAGTATGTTGAAAGCTAAATTTTCCAAGGGCTTAACAGCTGCTAATGCAAAACGAAAATTTGTATTCTCTGAATGTCGAACTATAGTAGTCTGCTGATGGAATACTTTTATTTCTTTTCTATTCCAATATGGGAATATTATAAACAGCTAATTATTGCTACTTTTGAAGATTAATCTATGATTTCGCCTAGAAATTTTATTTATAAACTATTTCAATGGTTTAAACTCAAGTGCTTTTACATCTAATACATTATTCGTGAGAACAAGATCCTGTAGCAATGTCCTAAAAAATTGTGTTTTGTTTTTCGTTGAACAAGAGAGCATTCTAAATTCAAATACATCGATAAATAGACCATTCAAAACTCCTAATTTTTTAGTCACCATTTCTGCTGACTGGAATATCCATGATAGTATGTCTACAGTATATTTCAAGAAAAATCTTTTGACATAATTTTATAGAGTATAGGTTATATTGCCTAATGTACATTTTGATATTTTCTTTTTTCTTAGTAATTTCAAGTCTAAATTAGTCACAGAATTTTATGGAACTCACATATATACTTTTGGAAAGGAAAATAGGAAGTATAAATTTTAAGTTGAAACTTGCCAGTTTCTCTCAGCTCAATGTTTGGGCTTAGCAATGGGAAGTTCAGAAGTGAATGACTGCGCTCTCCCTATAAAACCACGATTAAAGGCACGAGAATCCTTTTCCATAGTTCTTCAGCAATGAAAAAAAAGGTGCTAAACAGCATTAGCAACAATGCTTAGGCTTTTCTAGAAAATTTCAAAGCATTTCATGGAAGTTAAGTGGCATGGAGAGGTTCAGAGACGTTCTAAATAGTGTAGTTTCTAATATTTTCACAAATAAATCATTAAATGATAGATGTCAAGGATAATGCGTATTGTTATATTAATGTTTCATAGTCATCACATGATCAACAAAAAAGCTTATTATTTGTCAGTTAAAACATTGATTAGAAAAATAATAATATTATATTAAGTAAAACGGAATACAAAAAAAAAATAAAGAAAAACAACGAGCAAATAGCAACAAGGCAAATAAAAAATAAAGCACTATGAAGAAAAAGAATTCTATGGAACATGTAGAAATAAATTTCTCTTGTGATTGATTATCCTTGGAAAGCAATTATAGTTTGCCGGGGTTTTTTACTTTACGTATTTTTTATCCATACACTCAGATTAAAAAATATGTGTAAATTCCACATTTTAGCTCCAAATGGGTGCTAGAGATGTGTAAGATAACTGTTTTCCATACACCGTACCTTGACTACGACAGGCTTTCCTATCCTTACCCGGCAGGTTGACGTAATCCTGCATATCTCTAATGAGGGCTGCGTTGAAAATTGTAGTTTTGAAAAATAAGGTGAATAAAAAAATATTTATACTGCTTGATAATAGTACCAAGAAGGAGCTATGAACTCATGTAGTCACATTTTGTTTTGGGTATTCTCATATCTCGTAGGGTCAGTCAAAACTTTATGTACTTTTCTCTTTTGTGAACATAGGTTTGAGATAGGCAAAGTAATTAGTACGTAATCTAATACCAATATGTCCGAATGAAATCCGATGTATACAAAATTTGTAGTAGAGATTACGAGATACTTTGTAAAAACAAAACAATGGTTCTCTATATTTCTCCTACACTATGATAAAGAAGAAAGAAAATCAATGCAAAATTTTAGGGCTATCTATCATTTTAATAAGTCTTTGAGGTTTCTCAAGGAAGCAGCAAGACATCAGTTGCATAATGTCAATACTCTGATCAGTTTGAATTGTCTCTGGTCAAAAATTTGGCGAATATTTTCTGCTATATAAAAATACTCATGTGTCTAAGAGCTAGAACTTGTCAAATTCAAGATTCTCGAACTCGACGAACCGTACTTTGATATTCCTAATGAATTTTTCTAATTGGCATCAGACAATCATCATGAAGATATGAAATACATTCCGAAACCAGACTCAGTCGAGTTCGAGATCAACCCAGTGGACTCTATTATTTAGGCACTATTTCATTTATTCAAACTAATTCTTATCTCACCTCTTTATTATTACTATCAATCGGTCGATAAAATTCAATAACAGTATGTGATTGTAATGAAATAGTTGTGACAATCGGATGATAAACAGGTCCATCAGTATGTGGCATAATACCTTGACCTGCTTCATATTCATTTACTAGACAATGATTAAATTGAAATATATTATCAGGAAATATTGTTTGATTGCCAAGTTTAAGAATTCGTTCAGTAAATGGTTCTAACCATTTCGGTAATGATTCTGTTTGAATCATTCCTTTAGCATGTGGTTGTCCACCCCAATTTTGTAAACGACGATTACGTAATTGAACCCAACGTGTACGAGGTACATTATTAACACATGACAATAGATATTCTTCTTCTTCAATCGTTATAAAATTTGGTATATAGTAAAGAGTATCAGGTACATTGGTTAATTTATAAATTTCCATCAAAGTGAAAAGAAAAAGAGCTAGAAATATCACAATTATTAGAAATCTTTTCTATTTGTAAAAGAAATGAAAATATAAACATTCGGTTTTTTTCAATACATGTGTAATAATTGATGCACTGTAACAGATTTCAATTAACAAATAGAAAAGAAAAAGAAACATTAGACAAAACTATTATTCAAATGAAAATTTGTCATTTGATTTTCATGTACATGTCGATGGTAACAACACTTCATTGGTCGTTGCTTGAGTAACTAGATAATAGAAAAAAAAAGAATAAAGTGTATTAAAAAAAAAACTTTCACGAATGAAAGTCTAACTTTGATCACAAGAAACAAATACTAGAAGGTGAGAGTGTGAGGTTTTGAGGTGTGGATGTGGGTGTGATTGTTGACAATCTTTTCTTCACATTTACACATCCCCTTCTTTAATGCGCTAAATGTCACGTGAGATTATAACGTGCATAATACTTCAAAGTTAAGGTCAAATATTATATTAGTATAGTTCTTATCTTAGATAGGATAAAAATACTGCGAAATAATTGTACGTTGTGCCTTGTAGAGGTCATTTTATGCAGATGACCTCACGTCATGAATTATACAGCATTGATGAAAAATATAAGAGACAAAATCTGTTTGATTTTTTCCAACGATACCAAGGATTTAACTCAAAATTCAAATAGTGGTTTGAATCTGGGAAATTTTAAGGCTTTGCTGCTTTTTTTTAGAAGAAAAGTCTATGTTTCTCTCAAAAATTTCCTTTAGTTTAAAAAATTTCGTAATAGAAAAGAGAAAAATAATAATAGAGAGCATTCTAACAAGAAACTAGATTAGAAGAACCCTGAAAATTGATTCTGAGTGTGCAAAGCATTCAAAAATCTAATATAGATATTTATGTCGTAGTGACGACGGGTTATACATCTAGTTGAGACTCATTCTGGAAAATCCTGTTTTCCAAAGCGAATATTGGTGTATGATATGTTGGTTCTCATGCCAACAAGTGTAAAATTTAATTTTGAACAGCCTGATAGGACTGTTAAATTAAATAGTCGCAATATAACGTTATGTCGAATTAAAAAAGAACAATAATGTGATTGTACTAGAAAAGAGTTTTTCAAATTTTTTACTTCAAAAATTTTCTCGCATATATTTCTTCTCAAAAATTTGAAGCACATATGAAACAATACAGATTTCCATGAAGAAGTTTTCAGTACAGTTGAAATCTCAGCGAAATATTTCTGCAGAGTTTTTCATCATGTTTTTGCTTGTTGAGCGTCGCAGTTAGACGATTAAATTAGTGTTCATCGTTTAAACTTTGCGCCGACAAGGAAAGGTTATTTGAAAAACAAAGTTGTAGAGCAAGAAGTTCTCTATCAAATGAGTCTATAATGTTTTGGAAAGTTGCGCTAAAAGATGCAAATATTTTAACTCGTTTTACCGAAGCTAATCAGAGCTCATAACGTCTATAGATCAAAGACTGTCTGAACTATATACACATAATAAAACTAATTCAGCAGCACTTCTTGTTATTTTTAAATAATATCAGTTTTGGAAGTATTTGCATAGTCTTTGTGTCAAATAATGAAATTATATATACTATTGAAAATTTCGAATTCAGTTCTTGATAAATCAAAAAAGATATTATATATCATTTTTAAATACTAACTTTCATAGGAACGTATTTCTGTATTTGATAATTTTTGTCGTCGAATAAATACTTTTCTTTGTTTTTCAATTTTTCTTAAAGCACTTCTTAAATTAAAAAACACTTTTTGACATTGACGCATACGATCTTTTAGATGCGTTAAACGATTATCACCCGTTAGATTACTATCTAAAAAGATATATATATATTGTTTATGATAAAAAACCCAAAAAAAAATAAGATATCGATCTTACTAAGATCAAGAAAATTATAACGACTTGATCGATGTTTAAACATATCTTCCAATTGTTGTCTTAAAGTTGCGTTTATTGGTGAAGTCAAATGGGAATCTTCATTTTCGTTGTCTAAATAATTAATAAAATACAATAAAATAAATAATACAAAAAAAAAATCTTAAATCTACCTTGTTGATTAACTGTTCTTTTGCCACCACGTCTTCCTACTGTTCGACATCGTTTGACTTTAAATATGAAAAAAAAACCAATGTGCATAAAAATAAAATTTTAATTTCATAAAAAATTTGTCAAACTTTCTAATGATTGTTGTTCACTTGGTATTGGACTATGATCATTATTGTTTATACAATCAATATTGAAATTACTATTAATATCGGTATCGAATTTTGTTCTTCTCTTTGTACATATAGATGAATCTTGTGTATTACTTGGATCACGGAATGTTCGTCGTTTTTGTTGACGTGTAGATATACGACGATTATCAGGAGTTATGTTATTCGTTGAAATACATGGAAGAGAAAGAGCTATGGGTTCGATTAAAGCAGATGTTGACTGTTCAATAGTTGAAGATGTATGGATAGGTTCTTCTTTAACTTGCAATGGATTTGGCACGCTAACAATGAAAACAACATTAAATGATAAAATGAAAGAAACAAAATATGAAATTTACGTGTCCAATGTTGGAAGAATATTCTCAACATTGATAATTAATGTTGAATCAATATTGTCAATGGGTATTTGTCTTTGAGAACCTGTTTCTTGAATATGATCATCATCATGAATTGATTCATTATCATTATCATCAGTAGATTCAAATGCATTAGCGATATTTATCGATATTGTATTTTCATTATCATCAAATGAACTTGCTTGTTGTTGTAATTCTATTGGTTCATCAGCTGAACTACTTGATAACATACAAGTAGGTCTAGAAAAAGATCAACGAGAGAATGTAGTTCATAATAGATTTGAATTCCAATTTTTTTTTCGATTAATTCTTCAAAAAATTTGTTTAGGACTCAAATGTTAAGTAACACGATCGATATGCTATTTCGAAAAAAAAGTTAAGTATTATATCAAAATTTATATAACAAGAAGTGTTGAATACATAAATTCACAATATTCTTTCTTAAGAGAGAATATCGTCGAGTAGGCGTACTGAGAATAAAGCGTTTTAGAAAAAATAAAAAAACAAAATGTTTTGAACTAAAATTTTATCGATAGCTGTGTTTGATAATCATTAAATAGTCCTCAAAGTTTCAACGAAAACAAATGTATCTTGCTCGAGATATTCAATTTTCAAAATAAAATCGGCGACTAATCGTATGAAGACACTGTATTCGAGTTGAAAATCGAATATATCGAGAAAGTTATGCTCGTTTTTCTTGAAAGTTTCAAAATATCATAAGAACCATGAGAAGTATGGTTAAGGAGGATTTTAGGCCGAAACTCCTACTTGTGATTTTTCTGATGATATTCTGATGTAAACTGAAAGTTCAGTATGATGATCATAACTCGGAAAGAAAGGCCTAATGGCACGAACCATTTCATGATCCTTATCTACATTATGAATCCTACTTATGAGTAAAATATGAACTCAAACAGCGATTATCAGTGAAACGAGTTCCTCCTTGTCAGAAAAGTTTTTATTAAAACGACCGATAAATAGGCCATACGTTCGAATCTTATTAAGCTTGTTTTATGAGGAAAGTCTTCCAATTGATAAATTGTTTTTGAGTGCAGACTATGTGTATTATGTAGACTCCAATGAGCTATGAATACCTTGAATAAAGTTCGTGCCTTTAGTTTATTGCTTTATAGATACTAAACTCTCGAGGTATTTTGTATGAATGTCGTGGTAAAAGAAAAATTGGTTTCCGAATTTCAACCTGAAACTTTCTGTGATGACAGACCTTAACAAAAATAGTTTGTTAGGAATGTTTCAGATTTTGTCGTTGTTCATATCCTACGATACAACTATAATAATAGCGTGCTTTTCACATTACTCATATAAAACAGCAGATTTGATGTTCTGTTAGAACCAAATTGAAAAACCAGAAATTTTTCCCATAAACTGTTCTCGTTAAGATCTGTCTGTACACAAAGTTTTCAGTGGAAATTTAAAAATCAATTATTATATTACTAAGGCATTTGTTTCAAAGATACCGCGAGAATGCAGTAGTTTGACAGCAATAAGCAAAGGCGTTGAACAATTTTGTTTCACTGGACCTAACTCATAGTCATTATATGAAGTCGAACAGTGTCTGACAGTGCGGTATATGCTTTCAAACAATATATATGATAGTAAGATTGAACTGAAGTTTATTCAACTCACTGAAATTCAAGATTATTTGATTCATTAAGTTGATGAGTTGATGAACACGAAATCAAGTTATCTTCATTTGAAGATATAGTTTCTAAACTTGTCCATACTAAATAGTACAAGAATAATATCTATTTGATATGTTAATTTAATTTTAAATAAAATTACTTCCGTTATCTTGATCAATTGAATTTATTTTATTTTCTTCTATATTTTGATTTTTATCTTGTTCATTATCTTCAACATTTGATAATATTGAACTTATATCAATAACTATTTCTTTTTCATTCAAATCTATTTCATCTTGACGTTTAATAACTCTATCAAGTTCTATCCATTCTTGATATCTAAAATTATTTATATTTAATTAAAACGAAAAAAAAAAATAAGTAACTTTAATAAACAATTTTTACTTGGAATTCAATCCATTATAATCAACATATAATTGTTTTTTATCATCATTTTTTTCAACACATCGTGCATAATATTGTTTTTTTCCATTAAAATCCCATTTTACAAGTAATGTATCATTTACAAGTATATCTTCATATGTTAATTGAATAGTAGAATTATTTATACATATACAATTATTTGTTGATTGATTATTAGTATTACTATTTAAAGAAAAAATAAAAAATAATTAATATCTTTGATATTTTATTTTCGAAAATGGAAAATAAAAAAAAAGAAATATTACTTGAATATTTCATCACTATTTTGAGATGACATTGAACGTCTAGAACGTTTTGATGGAGATAATTGTTCATCTATTTTATCATTGAATTCAGAATTTTCATTGGAATATGATCGTTTATTTGAATTTGTTTGAAAATTTTCAATCTCGTTTGTTTGTTGATTAGTTATCGATGATGATGGAATTAGTGTTTGAAATATCGAAGGAACTACAAGGACATTCATTTTTGAAGGACACATACACACAAAAAGAAGCACATGATTGGAACAAGTTCATTTACCTGATGTATCATCATTTCGATTATTGATGCTTTCTATAGTAGTAAAAAGTGATGGTAATGTTGGTGATTCGTCTTTGATTGAAGATAGTGATGATGATGGTATGGGTGTTATTGGTAATACTGTTAAATCTTGGGATATTTTCGGTTGGTTTGATGCGGAAGGTAATGGATCACTTAAAGGCGGTGTATGAACTTTTGATTGTTGTTTGTTGGAATTAACTAAAGAAAATAATATTTTTATACGAATATAAATAGTTCATGTGAAAAATATCTTTGATAATATTCAAGAAAAAAAAAATATCATTTGACTTTTTAATTGTTGAATAGAATTTCTATGATATGCAAGTTAGAAATCTCAAAATTGCTATGTTCAAAAGAGCATAATTTTCTTGTATTATGTTCAATATTCGATCTCGAAAAATCAAGGTCGTTTTCTAATGATCCACGTCAAAATCTTCTATTTTGAAATACAGGCGAGTTGTTGGTATCCCAAGCTAGACTACGATTAATAAAGGAAAACATGGATTGTTATTATGGATACAGCATGTCAGCAACTGTTATAAATCACCATATTGATAGGTATCTATTTAGTACTGCTGATGATTACTATTATATTCTTTGTTAGTAATTATGAATAAACTAAAATATATACCTTTATTCGAAAGTTTTTTCGATATTTTGTCATGAACTTTGAATACTTTAGTAGATGTTGGTTTTTTAGGAAATTTATACATTGGAATCGTGGATTCTTTTCTTAAAAGAATGAAATCAGAGAAATGATTAATATTATTTTATTTATTTAACTTACAACATTTCATCAGATATTTTAGCAATTTTGATAACTGGTTTCATATCGCTGTCTGAATCGGCTGTTGGTTTTGTTTTTTTATTTGATGTTGAAGTTAATCGTTCATTTTTTTTATGTAAATCAGATAATGTTGATGATGATGATGATGAATGTTTTGTTTCTGTAGGTGTTTTCTTTTCATTAGAAATAAGAGATGATTTTTGAATAGTCGAATGAATTTGTTTTGAATGAAATATTTTTTGTTTTTTTATTTGTTTGGCATTAAATGATGATGAAATAGTTTTTTCATCATCGGATGTTTCAGAGTCCGATGTACTTGATGAAAGAATAGTCGATGATTTTGCTTTATTAAGAATAATAGTTTTTCGACGAGGATTCAGTGATGATGATGGTGTTGGTTTAGAATCGATTGATTGCCTTTTACGAGACTAAATATAAAAAGAGTCGGATAAGTTTTTTTTTTGCAACAATTCATTTTTTGATAGGGGGGACCCCAGCTGAATGTTTTCGAGAAAGTACGTTCATCGAAAAACTTCGACATACATATATGTTGACTCAAATTTTTTGTACGGATTCAAAATATATTATTCGCTTTGACTCAAAGCCTACTTTTTCAAACTAAAATCTATTAAACATTGATGAAAAAATAATGTCTAAACGAAATTCAAGTCATCTGATATAACTAGGGTCATTGTTTTTTTTCCTTTCTCTTGATAGCAAGAAAGTAGTGAACAGAAATAATTATATAACTTCCTTATTCTCATATTCATTTGGAACAACATTTACGTCATTAGTCAATAACACTTTCACTGTTCGAGTTGAAATTTCTTTAGAGAAAGACTATATGATCGACAGTTGATTGACATACTTTTTCTAAAAATCGTTTTATTTTCTTGGCAAACGAGTACTGATGAAATCGCACATAAAGTAAACTATTGAGTATTGTCCAAAAACGGTCCTTATGCGCCTCTATGATTTTCTTGATACTGAATCAGAATCAAACACACTGAACAATAATCCGTCAAGAGAAAGTGTGGGAAAACTCGAAAGTTCTTTAAACCAGTCGTTTCACACGGCATTCAGATGTAGTTTGTACTTGGAAGACTTCTCAATCCCAATAAGGTCATACAAAATTCAAAAAAGATTATACTTGGAATTAGCTTCTCGAACTCTATCGAATCATTTAAAAACTCGACTAAATGTAAGTATTTCTCGATAATTTTTGAATTTCTGACGTCTTACTTGTTGCTTAATTGGTGTAGATATTGGTTTTGATTTAGGTTTTTCTTCTGATTGTCGTCGTACACGTATTAAACTTCGTCTTGGATCATTATTCATACTTGTACGACCACCAAAATATGCACTTGGTATATTCATTGTACCTAATTTTTTTGATATATCTTCATAAGCAAATAAATATCTATAGAATAAAATAAAATGAATCATAACAATTTTTTGTGCTATTTAATTACTTTTTATAAGTATTTTCAATTAATCGACCACTTTTTGTAGATGGTTCATTTGGTAAACCCATTTTTATATAAACTTTACTCCATTGATCATTTTTTGTAACCTAAATCAAAGAAGAATATTCTTAATGTTCGTTCAATTGAAAAGACTTCTTATTTCGAACCTTATTATAACCACCTAACACACCAACGATTTTAAATAAACGATGAAGATCAAGATCATAATTATGAATTTTAGGTATACTGTTGATTGGTGTATCTGTAAAATATAAAATAGAAATAAGTGTTTTAAATAAAAATTTCAATATCTTAAATTTTTAATGAATAGTATTAAAGATTTAATCTAATTTTTTTTTTAATTAAACGAATAATCATTATTGAATATAGATAGTGAGTTCGATATCTCTATTATTGAACAATTGGAAATATTTCATATCCAAATTGATGGTTATGATTTAAAGTGAAATATACTTAATTAATCATGCTTAATTTAATTTGTAAAAACAATGATTACCATTACACTTTAAAAATAAAGAAATATTACGCTTGCTTTTAATGTTTCTTCTTTCAATAATAAAAGCGTAACGAAGGAACCAGAGGTGCAAACAGGCCACGTTTTTTAGGCCTGTACGGCCTGCCAAGTTTTTCGAGCGAGTACAATGATGATGACAGACTAGAATCCAGAGGTACAAACAGGGCACTAGGGCTATTGCTCAACCTGATCCTGACTTGCTTGTCATAGGCATCACCCATGGTTTTCAGACTAGTGAAAGTCAGAAGTTCAAGCAATTTTTGACCTGTCCGGGGCTGTCACTTGCACTAGTCTGAAAACCACGGATCATGCCTATGGCAGACGAGTCAGGATCAGGTTGAGCAATAGCCCTAGTGCCCCGTTTGTACCTCTGGTTTCTAGTCTTTCATCATTATTGTACATGCTGGAAAAACTTGACAGGCCGTGCAGGCCTAAAAAACATGGCCTGTTTGGACCTCTGGAAGGAACTTTGCCAGATGACGTCCACTGTTTGTGCTCATATTGCACTGACAAGTAAATCTCAGTAAAACTAACGAAAGATTGAAAAGTTTGTTCCCATGGGACTTTGGCACAGAGTTATAACCAATTTATTGACTCATGATCCATTTTTAAGTACTTTCTAAAAAAATAAACTTCAGAATTTCAATCTAAAATTTTATGTATACATTGATCTTAGAATTTTGATACAAAGCTCATAACTAGGCCTGTGATGAGTTACAATTCAATAAACCAGTTCTTTTAGTGTGAATTATGTCTGTCGATAATGGTAATGTAAACATGTTATTCAGTAACTATTTCAGTTGTCAATGAAAAGATCTAGTTATTTTATAGAGTTTCCAAAACAGAACAGATTCATAGAAGTATGAGCTGCCACATTTCTAGAACTGATTTGTTTGAATGGTTCAGCTCTTTTGAAAACAACTGAATGCGTGATGCCAGCTTAATTAAGAGTTGCCGATCTTAGTCTTCTAGAATACTTTGACAAATTCATTCAAATTCAGAAACAAATACATGAACTGAACATCAATTTAGTGGCGTAGATCTTACATTAACTGAAAAAAGAACTGATTTAGATCTCAAACAATTAGCTGGTAAATTTCGTGTTCGTTTTGCTGCAAAAATTGATTATCAAATGTAAATGTTCTTGCCTGTTATTGTAGGTATCGCTTATTTTCTACGTTTTCGTTGTGCATTTTCTTTTACCTCTTCTTTATTGATCTATACAAATGTTGTTTGTGCTCTTATGATTTTATTTTGTTTTTTTTTTTTTGATTTTGCAGAATAGAACTATTATCATCATAAATATTATGTTAGTTCATATCTTTCTTGTGTGAAAGATTATTATATTATTTCTTTTTCCTACATCAGAAAAAGCTCTGGTTCAATATCTTGATCTTGAAACTATTATAGACTGATTCACGGCTCATAAGAAAAATCTTGATTTCTTTTATATACTTTTAATATTGTTTAATTTACCTCTATCATCCATAAAAGCAAATAATTGTGCTATAAATGAATCTTTTTGTTCAATTGTTTCATCATCACTATCATCAAAATCAGATTCACTTGAACTTGAATTACTATCACTTGTATCATTCTGATCATCATGTGTATTATTTGATTTTTTCTTTTTCCATATAGCTGGTATATGATTATATTTAATATATTTATCACATGCTTTTGTTGCTTGTTTTGATGTTAAACGACATAATGATTGAATATGAGAATTATTTTTATATGGTTCAACATCTTTAGTTTTATGAACAATATATTCTCTACCATTAAGAAAACTTTTAACCCATATATAATCAGCTAATGTTTTACGTTTAAGTATTAGTGCTGGAAATACATTTTGATTATTATTATGACGTCGAACAGCAACAATTGATGTTGTATTATTACTATTCATTGTTATTGTTGATAATGACGATGATGATGATGTTGTTGATATATCGTCAAGAAGTTTATGTTGATCAATACGTGTTTGATATAAGCGTATACCTTGTAAACAAAGTGATGAACGTCTTAAAGATTTTTCATCACCATCATTAAATACAACTGTATATATACTATTATCATAAATTTGTTTAATTATTGCTTGTTTTTCATCGTAATTATCATTATTATTAATTAGAGTTGCTAAGGCACTACGTGAAAGATGTGAATTAAAATCATGATGATTTGATAATGGTATACGTATAGTTACAGTATTACCAATACGTAATGGAACAGGTTGTGCAATTTGTTCTTCAGAAATAATTATTGTATCACTTGTATCAACTAATACGACTTTTAATTTTACTTGTCTTTCAATTGTTTTAACTTGAGCTATAAATAAAAAAAAAAATAAGAAATTATTCATTTTTCTTTTTTTAAAAATTTTATGAAAAAAAGATCTCTCAATTGATTCATTTCTTCAGAACCTACACTATATGCATCATGGACATTCTAATGAACTATGAATACTCTAAGAGAAGCTCAAGCCATTTGCTGATTGCCTCTGAGATATTGCGCTCTTATAGTAATTTTAAAATGAGTGCTATGGTAAGAGAAAAACTGATTTTCGAATATCGACTTGAAACTTTGCATAGAGACAAAGTTTTTTTATTTACTCTCTTCCGAAAATAAGAACATCAAATCTGCTAGCTTTTATTATTAATATATCTTAGGATAGGAATATTTGAAATAATTTAAAACTCTTATACTAAACTATTCTCATTAAATTCTACCTCTATGGAAAGTTTCAAGCCGAAATTTGAAAACTAGTCTCCTTGTGCGATGTATCGGCAGTAATAAACTACAAGTCCGTGTCCTTCTACGAGTATTCATAGATTGTTAGAGTCTACGTGATACACATAGTCGCGGATCAAAAGCGATTATATAGTTCAAGAATTTTTCTCATTAGAAAAATAAATTACAAACAAGTATTAGAACAGTCATGTGAGATAACAATATGAAACATAAAATAATTATTGTTATTAATAGAAAAATATGTTTAACAAATTAACTTAAGGCCTGTTCTCTTCGTTCTCAAAAAAATGAAAATTAAGGTAATTGCGTGGTAAGATAGTCTGACAAGGAAACTTTTGTGAATAATAATTTCCGTTAGAGTTGAAGCTCTCAGGATATCATAAAGATCATGAAATTTGTTATTCAGTGAGATTTTAGATAAAAATTCTTTGTTGCTAGTTTTTTCGATCATACTCTACAATACGCTGAAAATTTAGTCTAATGAGCGAAGTTCGAGAAGACACAGCTAATAGCACGAATTTTACCTAGACTATGAGTCCTACCAATGAAAAAAAGATAAACTAATACGAAGTTCATCAGTGCGAATAGTTTCCTTGTGAAGTATCTTCTGCCAGTAACAACATGATTTTAAATGAATACCTCAGGTTTTACAAAATTTTTAATTTGACTTCCGTCATATTCAGCTAAGACAAAATAGGATTCTTCTTTTGAAGAAAGAAAGTTTTTTCATTACTTTGTATTCCAGGCAGAAATGAATTTAGAGGTTTGGCACTGAAAGCAATCATCATCCTTTTTCGCAATATTGTTTTCGGTACAAAACACCTCGAAATAAGCCGACTTAACTCTAATGAAGTTTACAATACGTTTTATGACTATGCTTGTCATCCTTTCCTAAAGTCTTCGATGCGTCACTGATGGAAAGTCAGCATTACTAAACGAACAAGATAGTATTTCGATAAATTTCACAATGATCCAAAAAAAAAAATGTAAAGTTCATCCAACCATGATGAGAAAAAGAAAAATATCAAAAAAGACGTAATTGACACGCATCATATCAATATGATATTATTTGTCCTTTCTTTCTAATCACTATTCATAAATCATAATTAACATTTTAGTTTTTCATAACGGTGTGAAACACATTTGATGAGTGTAATTACTTTTTGTTAAAAAAAGAGGACTAGGGCAACTCACCGTTGATTTTTATGAGAACATTTTCAAGTAAATTCACAATGTTCACATTGTGAAAAAGATAACTACTTTCTTAACGAAGTTTAACAAGCTATAATACAAATTTATCTATACACAATTCTTAAAATATATGTGATAGTTAGTGATTGTTCTGTTCAAATGTACATAAAAAAGCTAACGTATCGTACCGTTTTTCCTAAAAAAAATGCTTTTCTGATCACATAAATTCGAATTCTATGTAGGTTGTCATTCTAGATATTTAATTTTATTTATTGAAAAGAGCTATGACCGTCCATTTTGCTAAATTAAGTTTTGTTGTTAGTATATACTCAAACACTTACATGAATGAAGTCTCGTTTTTGGAGAGCTTTTTTCTAGAACATCAACTTGTCACTTTTCTGTTCCACATGAGAAGTAAGAATTTAAAAAAAAGGGCTTTGTCATACTCTTTCAAATAAAAACAATTAAATATATAGAATGAAGGTCAATAGAGAGTTTCAGGTTCACAAATGAGCTATCATTAAGTATTGCTTGTTAAATATCTCTCTCTAACACCATGATAATCCGAAATCAGTTTCTGAGAAGGATAACCTTAAGTCGATACTGTAAATTATTGATACTTTAATCAATTTATTAAATACAATAAAATCATGATTGTCCCCGAGTTTTATGTGTTTGCTGATAAAGTTATGGATTTGTCTTTGAGTAATTTGTAAAAATATCATTTTTGAGACGATGCTTTGCGTAGCTTGTGAAAATCCTAATATTTTCGCTTTAGCCTCTTTGATAGCTACCATCTTTAGGATGTGCGCTATACGGGCGTTTATTTTTGAAAATGTTTTATCATGGTGTATTGTATCAACACGGATGAATATTTTCGAAGTCTGTTCATACTGACATAGTCGAATGTTTATCAATGCATTTTGTTAATGTTAATGCGTTAGAGCCGTCTGTTCTCGATTAATTTGAATTCTTTCTTTATAACCGAAATCGAAAGTCGTAAACGCTATCACCAGTTTTTATGAGTATTGCGGAGAAATATATGACTTGGAAGATTTCATAGATTCCTATTATCTTGTATTTGTAAGAAAATTTACCTGAACAAAATGCTCCTCGATATTTCGCACTAACTGAACAACCGATTGGTAGGCAAGCTGATTCCATTGATGTAGATGTATTTGTATTTGTTTCATCGGTAAGCATGGATTGAGATGGTGTTGATGAAGACCGTCCTTTTCTTTCTCCGTGCATTCCAAAATCAAAAAATATATATCTATATATATATATAACCTCTATCTGAAAACAAAGATCTTATTAATAAAACAAAAAACAAAAAACAAACACATGTTTTTTTTTTTCTTTTTTAATCTTGTTCAGTCACTGTTAATTTTTCTTTTGTACAATGACATAATGATTGTTCATCTAAAGTGAATTCATCAAATTTTTATTTTAATACTTATATAACAATATAACTTACTACAACATTGATCTTGTTTTTGCATTTCTTTTCGATAACGTTCCGTTTTTCCAATACCTAATTTTGGTACACCTTTATTAAGACCTTCGATTAATAAACATGCTTTGCATATTGGCATTGATGAACAATATGAACATCGTTCACATACACGTTGTACAGGCATTTTAGCTGTTTGTTTAATAATTAATTGTTCACCACTATGAATTATATCAATGATTGATGATGGTCTTAAACGTTCTAAATCTTTTATATATGTTCTTATATTACCACGATATGCATTTGGTGAATAAACACATTCAGTAGAAAAATAATCCAAACGTTTATAGAATGCATAAAGAACAATTTCTTTTTCATACGCATATTTTAATGGTTTACATCGTGGTATAACAGAACTTTCATTTTCATCTGATTCATCACCGGTTATTATTGATGTACATCGTTTAAGACGTGCTATATCACCACGAAGAATATTCATTAAAATTGTTTCAGCAATATCATCGGCATTATGACCTGTTGCTATTTTATTTACTGATAATTTCATTGCACCACGATCAAGAGCTTGACGACGAAAGACACCACAAAATGTGCCTGAAGGAAACAAGTAAGAATAAATAGTAAAATTTATCAAATCTAATTAATATATCATTGAAATGCAGTCATTGTCAAAATATATGAATAAACATCTTGTTAATCTTCTATTTTGCTTCTTGAATTGATCCTTCTATCAAACAATATTCATTTAGTATGTTCAATACGAATATCAGTTCAGAACTTTTCATAAAGTCATGTATTTTCATAAACAATGGTTGAAGTTATAAGAACATATAGATATTTATATAGTTATTTACATGGGATTATAGATGCGCAGGAGGATTACTATACATTGTAGGATAAGGTAAGAGCTAGAAAATTTTTCTTCTTCAAGCCATAGAATACAAAAAAAACCATACCCTGCACATACCTACAGAGAATGAACGCTAGTCAATAAGGTGAGAGTGTCGAATCACATGCTTACGTTTTTTCTGTTCTATTAACCATCGTTGGTGTAAATGAGTCTTATATTTTCGGGGCAATTGTTTCACAGTTTTTTGTGTCGTAAAAAAGAAATGGGTCACTACAAAGTTACAATATATCAAAAAAAAAATTAAAATTCTCACACCTTTAGAATCCATTTTTACATATGCAAATATTTGCATTAAGCTTGAGCATTTTAAATGATCGTATCAGTAACATTGTCAAAAAAGAAAAATTACTATTACAACGTCATACTTGTCAAGGTCGTAGGAAATAAACCACTTATAAAGAAATTTACCATATCATAATGTTAATAATTGAAAAGAGTCGTTAAAAAGTTAGTCGACAAATAGTGTTTGAATGGGATTTTATCAAATGGAGAGTATGTTAGTTCTCGAACAGTCCCATCATCAATTATGTAATTAAATTATACAAGTAAACAAAAATTATATTGAAAACCTCATCATTGTTATTAACGGCTACACTTTGTTCGTAATCATGATGGATGGCTTTATAATGAGTGGAGAAAATACTATTTTCTCTGATGAATCTCGCTGTGAGGTTTTTTGCTTGCCAACTCTATTCAAAAGCTGATAATCCTATTGATTTTCGGTGTTGTGTTCAAGGTAGAGACGCCCATTGCAAATGAAAATCTGCCACTGCTGCGCCACGATGGCTTCCGAGAAATTCTTCGAAAATTTCTTCTGTCATTGTGCTAATTGAGCACAGGTAGATTCAATCCTGCAGATTCACCACGATCTTGATTATTGGATTTGTCGAAGCTCAAATCAAATGTAGATTCATATAATTTAAAAATCTTCCATAAACATAAGTTGTCGCTGTTGTGACAATATTTCTGAGACATCTTCCACGCCCATCGTGAACATCTCTAGTACAAGATGAAGATGATTCAATCAGAGTCTTGCGTGTTTTGACGAGCAAAGGAGTTGGTTCTTTTGTATTTTTTTTTATGATGGTTGAATGAATAGCCAAATTTATATAGAGATAATTAAACTTCAATTAATATTATATATAATAAAAACAAATTCAAATAAAATGATTTATTGTGTTGTGTACAAAATAATGCACCTTGTCATAAATCATGTTTTCACCGTGTGATGATTGGAAAGAAAACAAAATCAACATTTTAGATTGGTCAGACACGTTGCTTGATATAAACCCACTTGAGAATCTTTGAAACATCATTGAAAAATAATTCATAAATAGCTACTCTACTACTGTAAATGATCTTTAACAAACCATTCTCAAAGTATAGTCCCAAATAGCAATTGAAATATATCAAAATTCAATTCAATCAAGGCCAATGTGTATGAATACCTGTACTCATGAAAAAGAGAACATGTCTTCAAAATTTCGACTTTGTTTTAACATAAAGGCATTTTTTTATGAAAATAAATAACACTACGAAAAATTCCGAATGGATATTCGGATAGAACACACCTAAACGGATGTATGTTGATAATTGCAAATGAAACTTTTTTCATTCCTAGCCATGATTTAATAAGATTTTTCGAGTCGAACTGCCTTTAATTTATTCCGATCTTTTTTAAGTTGTTAGCCTGATTTGGACAGTTAAATTGAATTATTTGTTTTTCTTTCTCATATATACTAAATTTATACGGTTCGAATTACACAAAACAAAGGTTAATTAATCGCTTTTCATAATATATAGTTCAACAGTGATTAATCGATAGTATTGTGAAGTAGGATCTACAACAGTTATTTTAAGTGTTTGGTTTCAAAATCAATTCTGTCTACATTACTTATGAAACAATGAGATCAAATCGAATAATAAAACTTTCAAAAATGAAATTAATTGCACTTGTAAAATCTATCCATTATATACGAGTACCTTTTTTTTTTCATTACAATGCTAAACATGAATATCAATTCTTTTGAAAACATATCTACTTACAATTATTCTTACGACCAACTGCTTTTACAATTTCATCCTAGAAAAATAATACATCTACTTCCTTCATAAAAATCCTATGTTTCTTTTACCATACTCCAACCATATAATTCTTTATAGGTAAGAATAATTAATGGCAAATCATATTGTTGTTGATTACGTTTAACTGTTTCAAGTGAATCATCTCGATAACCAGTTATACCTTCATCAATTGACAATAAAACAAGTTTAAGACCATATGAATGTCGTTCGTTAAGCAATTTTAATACATGTGCAAGAACAGTCGAATCTAAGTTAATAATTATTGATTAAAAATATCTTTTTTTGTCTTTCTTGTAATACCTTTTCCACCACTTGCAGCAATAGCAATTGTTTCTCCCGATTTAAATAATTGTTCGTTAATAATTGTTTCATGTATTTCACGTTCGAATGCTTCAAAAAAACATATTTTACAATATGGTTCACTTGTTTTTGGTCGAACTAAAGCGGCTGGTCGTTCTCCACGACATGATACACAAGTTGTGCTAGGCATTAAATAACTGTAAAATTGAAATCAATCAACATGTAATACCATGACACACCAACGAGAAATCAAACAATGATGAATCATTGAAAGTTCGACTAAACCAACGGATTTACTTGCAACAGATGGCACTTATTTACAACTTTGAAAAAAGAAAAGAACAAGAAAAATACCTTTTTTTTAAGTCACACACATCTGACACCTTGCGCAATTTAAAAAAAAACAAATTTATTTTGTTTTGTTTTTCTTGAATAAAAAAGAATTATAAATCCGAATATCTTCATAGAATCTTTAAAAAAAAATGCAATTAACTTCACACGCTCAAGATTATTAAATTAGTTCTGGATGTCAAAATCACTATTTTTGTTTTCTTGAATAATCATCATAGTATAACCATTGTCTGTTTCGGAAAGAATTATTTACTATGGTTTATGGAGTGATGTATCTAAATTTCCCCATACGAAGTTTGAAATTCTTTTGACGATATCAAACCTAAATCAGACAAATAATTTCTTTTTCTGAAAAAAATAGATTGAGTTAAAACAATATTTACATACTATCAACACATTTTCGATAAGTTACCTTTCAGAGTTTTAATAAAACTTATTGATCACATTAAGATGGTACGAAATTCAATTTCTTCTTAAAGTTTATAAGTAGCAATTTCGAAAGAGACGCATACATAAGATATTTAAAGATGATAGTCATTGATATATTATTTTATGATGTATCAATTTTCAGTTTAATCAAAAAGTACGGATTCTTTATAGGCTTTGATAGTGAGAAGCTTAACATTATCAGACTCTTCAGTGAAAAAGCTCAGATGGCCAAAGTCAGTCTAGAGAATAGGGCTTAACCTCTCTGGTTACATCATTATTCTATATCAAAATTGAATACTATTAAAAATCGAATATCTCAATTTAAGTTCGTTGTAGACAATTCATATTTTTAATTCGTTAAATTAGTAATATCAATGATGCTTTGATCCGATCATGAATTGTCTAGTAACTTACCGTACACAAGATTTCATTATCAGATAAAAAAGAAACAAAATTCATGCAAAAATTTTGTTCCATCCATTAATTACTTAAAATGAAACACAATTATCCATTGAAAGATTTCCTTAGAACTAAATCATTGACATGACTAATCTTTTATACTTTAACATATAATTTTCTTGGCATTTATATTAAATTAGGAAGAGTAATATCTTCCCTCATTATTTAATAATATTAATATTTTTAATTTACAAAATCATCGCTTCTTTTTTCATTGCAAAAAAAAAAAGTGATTCATCTCTGATTTCATCATACGATATCAAACAGCTCGTAAATAGATTGATATGTTATTCTTATCTGGTATAAATAAAACTTAATCCTTTGCTTCCTGTAGCGATTTTAGAAGAGCAACTGACAAACAACCACTGACATAGAATATTGGTATTTCATATATATAAATACTAAGGACAGATTAATCATCGGACGCACTCTTGTTTATAAAGATAGTTTAATCATTCTAGTATCCATTGAGAGCTCATGTCTTTAATTAGCTTTTGTAAAACTTTCGAGTGATGTTGGTACGAATGGTAGACATTATATATTACATAATACATTTCCATCTAACATATTTTTTATGGAAAGAAAAACATTTCATTTCAAAAAAAAAAAAAAAAACTTTTGTGATTTTTTTTTCAAACTTATCAATTTATAGTTTATAGACTTCTCTACCAGACATATTCCCACAGTTTTCAAAATTCATTTTCTACAATTGTTTGAGAAGTCGAATAGTTGCTTTCAAGTATGCACGCCGCTCTACGTCTTCTTTTCATACACACACTTGAGCAAGTGACTGAGAATGGGTACAAGATTAATATAGAAGCTTTCAGTAAAATAAAACTGACAAATATCTTGAAATCTGATTTTTTTTTTCTTCTATGAATATTTTTTAAAAGATTTTCAAATAGATACAACTATATGATTTTTAATAAAATTTTGACATCATTCAAGAAAAACAAGATTTGAAAAAAGAATAATTTTTATTATATTCATTATATTCACGACATTATAATATTTTCTCCCATTTCCTAGACTTCCTATCATTTCTCTTGGAGTACAACAAATTGACAAATATACAAAAAAAAAAAAAAAATAATAATAATAATAATATTAATAATTGCACGGAGACACTAAACACTAAAAAGAATGTTAGCATTTTACCCAAGTCAATTATATATTATACACACACACACACACATAAAAGAAACTTTATTTATTTTTTATTGTTTAACAAACATATAAAATTTTAACGAAATTGAAAGACACTCGATGTCTTTTGTGGTACATGTTCCAAAGTTAAACTTTGAAACCATTCAGATGAATTATGATAATAATAACCTTGTAATTTTCCTGTACTTAATTGTAAACATATATAATAAAAACCAGCAAATGATGCACCTATATATATATAAAATATTATTCATTCATAGAAAATAATAATAATAACAAGAAGAAAACAAACCAGTTATATCTCTAACAGTATGATCAGGTACAAGAAAATGTTCTTTCCATCGCATAAAAACATAATCAGAATTTTTTCCTCTTAATAATTGATCATAATCAAATGAATCAGTATTAAATGTATCAATATAAGGCAGAAATGCATCAAATTTACTCCAATGTTGTTTATCAACTTCTTCATCAGCTTCCCATTTACGTGTTAAAAATGGATAACGTTTTGATATTATTTCAGCATCAAAAAATGTTGATAATATTGGATATTCATCTATTAAACCAGTTATACCTAAATAACCACATATATAAGAACGTTCTAAATCAACATGATGAAATATAACATCGACATTGTAAGATTTTCCTTTGGATTTTTGATTACCAGTAAAACGTGATGATGTACATAATATAGAAGAATTTTTATTTGGTGGACCCAAATTCATATCAGAAAATTCAAGAGGACCTAGCAGTTTCATTTTTGACGTAATTATACAGTAAGGGATTAAATTATAGACAATAGAGGAAGAAACCTAGAGAACAGAACATACAACAAATAAACAAGAGTTACCGAGACACGGTCAAATAACCAATTAGACTTTTTATATAGTGATAGAGTTCGCTAGTAAACCATTTTTTAAAATAAAAGTCAGAGCTGGACACAAGGCAACTTTTTCTATAGTATTGTCTTGTTCAACTCTGGTTAGGATATAGACACAATAAATTTGTACAAGTCTTAAAATCGGATCTTTCCTTCTTGAACATAATAGTAAAATATTCTGGTGTTAATTTTTTTAGAATTTATTCTTTATTTATTCACTATCCAAGCAACACTAAAAGGGCTTTTTTCCTCAAATTTCATTTAGTTTTCTAGAAAATTTGCTAAAAATATAAAGATTGAGCCATTGAGTTCATGAAAGAAACTAGACAAAAAACTACCGATATATCAATAATCAACCAACAATAGCTTGATACATAAATGATCGTCTATCTTCTAATCAACATTCGACTGCGGTATACTGCATAGTTATTCTCCGGTCGGCAATTCACTCCCAGTATATCGACAGTAGTGCAAACGGATTCGAAACTCTGATGAAAATGTAATAGTTTGAGAAACTATGAACGCGTAATGATAAATATTATATTTAACGCTTGTCAAATACCATATGTCAATGATCTTTTAAATTTATTTTATCATAAATCACTCGTTAATACATTTTACATCGAAAATTGTCTATATATATATATACATATATAAATAAATAAAAGTACAAAAGAACAAAAATAAAATAAGATATTCGAATCTATTTTGGAGTAATAGTTCCACTATTTTTTGACGACATTTTACGTCGATGAGCTAAACGTACTAAAAAGAAAAAAAAAGGAAACGAAAAGCAACTTTAAAAGTTTATTTTTTCATAAATATAAACACATACAAGCATCTTTTAATGCTGGATGTGCATATATCATTGCTTGTTCATATGTCATTAATTTATCAGGTTCAGGTGGAGGTACATGATGATGTTGTGGATTTGGTGATGTTCCTATAACCATTGGTTTTATGATTGATGAAGAATTATGATTTGTCTGTTGTCGTTGCTGAGGTCCAAAATTTAATGATGTTGATGAAGCTACTGATGATGGTCGTGCTGGTGAAATAGTCTAAACGAAAAGAAAAAATTAATGAATTATTTTCATTAAATATATTACTGATTGATATTGTCGAATAGTTTGTTGATGTCGTTCATGATTTTGATGAGACAATTGTTCTTGTCCTTGAAAAATTTTTAATAATTCTTTATTTATACGTTTAGTTTCTTCTAATTCCATCATTCCTTTTTTTATTTTATTCATTTGTCTTAACTAAAATTAAGATGAGAAAATTTTTCTTTTCATTAAAAAAAAAAAAACAAAAGTTCTTTGTTTACATATTCAATTCTATGCATTATTAATTGATTCCATTTTGCATCTTGATAATCAAATACCTATAGAATAACAAAAATAAGAATTCATTTATTTTTAATAAGATTACAACAACAACGAAAAAAAATAATAGTTTTACATCAAATAATTGTTTATACATATTCGAATAAAGTTTATAAACTTGTTCACGTACTTGTGCTTCAGTTACATGTACTAATTCATAACGTGAGATGAATAAGACTTTTATTTGTGGTGGTAACTATGAATAAGAAAATTAATTGTTCAGTTTTCATATATATATATGAAAACTTACATTTGAATTAATCGGATAAATATGTGTCGATTTTGAACATAGGGCACATAGAAAATAAAAAATCTTTATTAGTTATGATTTTCTTTTTCATATACTTACAATTATGGCTATTCATATTATGTACAGCACAATCTCGACAGATAATATGACCACATGGATGACAATAACCAAGTGGTAAGCGAGTATTATTTGGACCATTTTGTTCACGTCGTTTACATATTTCACAATGTACCCATTCGGGTATTATTAAATTTGTTCCTGATACGGATGTTTTTGTTGTCTCCGATGAAACTAATTTTGGTGTTGGTGCACCAATACTATTATTTAACATTGATGAATTCAAATCCTATGTTTTTTTTTAAATTAAAATAGAAAATGATGAAAAATAAAATGAAAAAATCATTACTACTGAACTACGGCTAGTAGTTGAGTTTAATGTTGCATTTAGATTCATTAGAAGAGGTATAGATTCAATTGATTTGTGATAGAAATAATAGATCGTTGAATTTACCGCTAAAGAGGCTGATAAACTTTATGATATTTCTTATTTTTTTCATTCAATATTATGTTTAAATATAACTAAATAATTCAAAAGAATAAATGAGAAATAATAAGAAATATCTGATTTCAATTAAAAATTTATAGAGGACAGCACTGAACGATGAATAAAACATAAATTATTGAAATCATCTTACACACATATCATTAAGAAAACCAAAGATACAAGCTATGAGAGTAGAATTTTGATTTAAAAATACTTTAACTATGTGTCTAACAAGAAAAGATCAACAACTGATTAATCATTTTGCACTAGGAATTAATCTCGATGGGGCTCTACTATGTGCGTCAAGTAGTTTTGCGAATTTAATACCACAGTCCGACCAGTCATGAATATCAGGACAAATGGTTTTCGTATTTCGACTTGCAACATTGTATAGAGACAGATCTTAACGAGAATAGTTGATTAATAAAGTTTTAGGTCTTTTGATTTGCTCCTATCCTAAAATAAGAATAACAAATATGTTGGCGTGTATAGAAATGATGCAAAAGATATGCTTTGACCACAACCGTTTCTTAGGATAGACACATGAAAATATTAAATCATTCTTGTTAAAGCCTATTCATATGTAAAATTTTATGTGAAAATTCTGAAATCAATTTTCTTGATGTTCACGAGTGAGACCACAACATTGACTAGATAGATATCGTAAAACTGCATTATCTTCACAGCAATAAACTAAGAACTTAAACTCTTCTAAGATTATACATAGTTTATTAGAATCTGCATGATACATATAGTCCGAACTCAAAAGTAATTAATCAGTTGAAAGACTTCCTCGGTAAACATTTCAAAATATAAATCTATCATTTTGTAGACTTCACATAAAATAATAAATTAAAATTTGAGATATAGATTTTTCGCCATTATTCTATATTTGATTAAGTGTTCTTATTCATACAGACGCCACAAAATATATTATTTGAATTTTACGTAAATAATCATATCATCTTCTGTAATATTTTTATTGTTTACTTACTATGCTTCATTTAATTAAGGTACTATCAAAATGAAGTAGGCGGTATATAACAAGAACTATATACTTTGAGTGTAACTTGATTACATACAGTTACTTAGTCACGATACAAACTCAAACATGAGATCATTAATTGAATAAATAAGAACATTTGTTTTGAATATTATTTTTTTTTTTTATAGTTGTATAGAATAGTGTTTTATCGAAATAAAGAAAAATCAAATATAATATGTAACAAAAATAAAATGAAAAAGGTTTTCGTCCTATTTTGTTTAAATAAGAAATAAGACACCGGAAATTTATCGTAAACAAAATCTAAAATCATCTATGATTCATCAGTTGTAGAAGTTATTATTTGTTGTTGTTGTTGATTGAGTAAAAAATCTATTGTATCATTAATTATTTGTAAACGAGTACGAAATGATTCTGAAATCAATGCTGCATATTGAAGATTTTCTTCGATAGGTAATAAATTTAACATTATCCAAGTCCAACTTGGTCCATCAGCTAATGAAGAATAAAATTAGAAATTCTTTTTTTTTTGTTTGGTATTAAAAAAATATAGCGATGAATTTTTAAAAAATTAGAACGATGAATTACTTTCTCACCGAAGCCTAATGGATTTTTGGATTATCGATCATATTGATTTTCGAATATGATCAGAAGAGATCTCCTTAGACTTTCTAGAATACCATTTTTTTCGTTGCAGATTCTTTTTAATCCATCCAGATTATAGAGTGTATCGTATTGTCTAGAAAACACTAATCTATTTTGTTGGAAATTATTTGTTTTTGCAGAAAAATTAGCATCATTTTCTGTGGCAAAAGTCTTTTATCCGGCGGTCACAATTTCAACATATTTTTCGTATTTTATCGATAATATCATTAAAAAAGAACGTCAATGACTCTAGAATATATCATTAGATGAAAAACTGAGTGGACTACATTGTGGTATAAATAATTTTTTCAAAAGTGACGCACACCGTAATTAAAATTTTTTAGTTTCAAAGACATCATTAGAGATAACATTTAAGAGTAAATAAAACGATGTAGTTTTTTTTCTATGCAATAGCTTGTTACAAGACTTTTTTTTCTAAATATTATCTTAGAGTTTATTTAATTCTATATTAATAATTAGCATATTTGCGCTTCAAATTTTTGAAAAGTCGTGCATATTGTAGAAGAGATTTTGTTCTATCGAATGAGAGATTATGCCCTCCCACACATTATATCTAGCACGCAACACAATCATTCTAAATTAGAACAGTCGTTTGATAGATGTTTTCCAGCTATTTTTTTTCTGAATTCTCTACTGATTTATTCTCAAAGCGTTATATCTCGTGCATGAAACATTGTATGAAAGAGCCTAATCTCTCATTCGATAGAACAATGTCTGCTTCTACAACATATAATAATTTTCAAAGTTTTGAAATTCTATCTAAAATTCTCAATTATCTTAAATTTTTTAATATACTGTTAAATAAATTCTAAAGCAATATTTTAAAAAAATGTCCTTTAACAAGTTATTGCACAGCAAAATACATATATGATTCTCTTTACTTTTAAATGTTCTTTTTAATTATAATAATATAATTGATGGAATACTGAAAGTATCTAGAACTTTTGATATTACTAGTAGAGCCCATGGGGTTGGTTTCAAATAAGATTGAGTCCAAAACATTTCTATCCGATGGATTTTGGTCGTCTGAAGAAATGAAGAGTACGCCCTAGTCATCAAATACAAAAAAACTGGAAAGAAGTATCTTGTATCTTCGAGGTAGCTGTCTGATTCAGATTAGAAAATTTCATTGAGAGTATCAAAGTACGATTCGATCATATCCGAAGGTTTTGAACATGAGCGACTCTAACCATCACAATGTCTGTAGGTTTTCCTTGAGCGAAAAATCTTGAAGCAAAAAAGTGTCTTAAACTTTTGTCTCTTCTTTAGTAAGAGCCTAAAACTCATTATTAGCGACCTTTCTGTTGCCTTTCAGTTTCTACTCTCTAAAATTTAGTAAATAAATGTAAATATTTACTTGATTGATGAGTTAGATCATCACATAGTGGATAACCTTCTAATTGACGAGTTATTAATGTTCGTCGATATGCATCAAGTTGATCAAACCAAACACGTACACGATTATAAGTATTTCGATTAAGTTCATATAAATCTAATAGAATAATAAAAAAAAAAAAAACAATATAATTGAAAAAAAAAAATTTTTCAAAATAAACAAACCATTGAATTCGCCATTTTCAATCGGATGATCTTGAATAAGTTGTATACGTGCTGTACAATATCCATCTCTTTCTCCACGATCCATAACATGAAAACGTCGTTGACCTATTGTATCAACTATTGAACGACCATCACGAGTATAAACAAGACCACGTATATATAATAATGTACCATAATTAGCAAATGTACTACAAATATTTTTGTTTTTTTTTTTTTTTTTATTAAAAATTTTATTATCATTTTCTTACTCTGTTTCTTGATCATATTTACACATGCCAAATGTACGTGATTCAGTTTCAATTGTTCGACGCATCATTAAACGATAACGTGGTTCAAATACATGTAATGGACATGTACAATATGGTAAAGCTAGCACACATACGAATATTGGAATTTCAAATATAGTTGATTCAACATTATTTATTGACGATTGTGGAACTGATGCTCTAAATTTTAATACATTTTTTTTCTCAAAATGATTCTATTTTTATTTAAAAAAAATAAATATATATATATATATATAAATTTTACCCTTGAATATTTTCTTGTTCATATAATTGTTTTCGTTCATTAAATTCATTTGGAAAATAACTTTCAATAATTTGTGATATAATTTCAGTTTTATTCACATGTGATTGTATTAACATTGGAAAGAACTAGAAAAGAATGAACTCATTAATAGAAACTATTCATTTGAAGTAATTAAGTATCTGATCATAACGTTTGCTGCATACTTACTGTGTAGAACAGCGATTTTTTTTTCATTTAGTTAGACGGCCTGATTATTCTGATGTCGGTCACACTGAGATATATGCTAATCTATTGGCAGACTAGGTGGTACACCTTTCTTGATAGTAGATGTGAAAATAACATTCTTTCATTACAGCTAGGATCATTTTTGGTGAATGCCATGGACAATAGTTTTTCTAAAATTATTGTATTTTTGGTATAAACTAGAAATGTTCAGAGTTATTCTACACTGTAAAGAAAACCTAGAATAATAAATTCTTTGAAAAGGATTTATTAGCTTCATCAATCCATGTACTACAGTCATGAAGTTAATAAACTTTTGTCATAAGGTTTGTTATTCGACACTTTTTCTTTTTACAGTGTACGCTACGACATAGGATAGGGGAGGGTAAAGGTTAGTAAGTTTTTCTCGAACAGAGTATAGGGTACGAAAAAAGATTATCGCGTATATCTCTAATATAAACTCATAAATAACATGATTTTCATGCTAAGCACTTGACTAGAATTTATAAGTAATCAAAAAGCACTTAGCGTCTGTTTTTAAATAACATCTTATTCATGAGAGATATAAACTCGCAAATTTTTTCATGTTTATTCATCTAAACAAAACTTTAACTAGAGGAAGTGAGTGAAAATAGCAGACATGATTTCAATCTGGAAATAGTCACCTTTGCAAGTGTCTACCCATATAACTGCGAAAAAAAACCCCACAAAAGAACTAAATCAACAGTATAATCAGTGCCTTCATCGACAATTTCTATAGTTAACCCGACGCTAACTCTATTAGATATGTGCTATGGAGGGTAATAAGTAAAAAAGATAACTTCGAAAAAGTAATATTTGATCGGTTTTTTTTTGAAGTACACTTCAGATATAAATGAATCTTAGAAGCATGAATACAAATATAAATCATATGGAAAACAATTTTCTTGCTTCTAAAATTCAGTCATTTCCGAAGGTTAACGGTAAGAATTAAGATCATTACTGTACGACGTAAAATATTTTTTTATTACGTTTGTTTTTTTTGTCGAATAGCTCAGAGACAAAAAAAAAACAAATTAATCAAATATCTATAACATACTTCTTCTAATGAACTTTTACACATTGGACATTGAACTTGTGTATTATCTACAGAACGAATAAGGCATTCCCGACAAAAAACATGACCACATGGTGTTGTTACTGGAAACCATAGTAGACTAAATGAAAATTTATTTCATTAACATAGCTATAAAACATAAAAAGAACTTAAAATATTTCATACTTGACGCATATTGAACATTCAAAATCTCTTGCACGTAAACATTTACAATCAAATAACGTACAGAGGCATGAAGCTGATGCTATATTTATAAATAAATATTTAGATTGAAAAATAAAATTCTTAATGAAACTTACGTGTTGATCTACACATGAGTAGTTTAAGATCCGTCGTATCTAAACGAACATTAACATAATAAAATCAATATTCGAGAAGAGAAAAAATTTTGTTGTAATATTTGGTTTCTTATTATTTGATTTATTTAAATATTCAATTAAACGAAAATAGATTATGTTTTCCTATCTTATTCACATGCTATGCTTTGAAAAAGAAACAATATGCTATTGTTCACATGAATGAATTATAACAAAAGAAATGCTTCTCATTAGTACGAGTATCTAATGACATTTGTTGTGGAAAAGCATCATTTTATTATTAGTATATCATGTATTTCATAATGAAACATATTAGTAATTAATTGTTCAATGTAACGTTCGTAATACTTGTCTGTATTTAACTATGAATTTTTATATTTATTGAGTACTTATCATTTAATAGTTTAGATGAGATGTCAATTTATCTTCGACTAGAATCTTTAAAGATTATATGCTTTCAGAATGCATTTGTTTATCTAGATACTTTCATCTTACAAACGATTGTCTAGTTCTTAAGTATAAATTAATAATTAGATTTATTCTCACCAGAAGTTATCATTTCCTTGGTATTGTTATTTGTTGATAGAAGTGTGTCTAATTCATTTTCCGTTGTTATTGTAGTTTCTGTATTATCATTGTCGTGTAGAACAGCATGAAGATGCTTCAATAAGATAAAATAATAAATCAAAAAAAAAAAGAATATTCTAAATTTTCTCACTAACTCGAGCCATTATTCGTTTGCCTATATGATCTTCAGGATCGATTGAGAGTCCTTGTAATGATGATAATAATGCAGCTGTACAACGTTTCATTTCAAATAATATTTCACTTCGACAGTAATAACCCTAAGAAAGTCAAAACAATTGTTTTTTCGACGAAAAAAAAAAAGGAAACAATATCTTGTACTTTCGCCCAATGTGGTTTAAATCGTATAACTCGTTCAATATCAGTAAGAGCTTTATCAAGTTCTTTTAAAGTTATATAGGTTTTAGCTCGACCATATAATGCCATATGATCATCATCGTCTTGAACAAAAAAAAAATCAAGTAAATGAATAAAATGATTTATAAAAATAATTTTTCTTACATTGATCTAATATATGTGAATAAATATCAATTGCTTGTTGATAATTTTTATTTTCATATTCATTTTGTGCTTTATAACATAATAAAATATTGTCACATTTAAATTTTAATTTTTCAATACGTTCAATAATTTGTTTAAGAAAATGATTTTTACTATAAAGTTTTTCTCTTGCATGTACAATGGGTGATTGTATTTGTTCTTGAATATCTTTTGAACAACGTAAACAATTTATTGATAATGAAGCAAGTTCTTTATCTTTTATACATTGTTCACAATATGTATGACCACAATAAAGTGTTATAGGTTCATAAATTAAATTTTCACAAAATAAACAAACTAATGGACAAGTTGTTATTAATGATATTGTGGATGACATTTTTTGTATTGCTATTTGTTGACAGATTGATTCGAGTTCAGTTATTGTATAAGATAAAAAATGTCTTCTAGGTTGTTGAAGATTCAATAAAAGTTGATATGAATGAATGATAGATGATGATTGTTCTACTTTGGAGGAAAATTTTTTTTGATGGTTGTGCTTTAATTTTGGTCTATGATGTTGAATTTGATGTTTTTTAAATGACTGACGACTATGATTAGATAACATTGTTGATTGGACTGAAAGAGGACGAACATTTGAATGCAAATTATATAAGAATAGTTATTGCAATGTTTCTTTTTTTTTTCTGCATAAAATATTTCTTGAAATAGAATAAATCGACCTCGGACAAGAAACAACTGATTACGTGAGCACTGTCTATTCGCTCGTTCTGTATTTCTTCTTCTCTGTTCTCTCTCGTTTTCACTGACATACTTTTTCTATTTTGTGCGCTTTACCCTCTTTCTATGTCCTTGTTCGAATGATTACGACACCACACATATGTTATAGACCACGAGATGGTTATGTAACTCTTTTTTTTATGATTTATATGGCAAAAAAGAGTTTGATTAACCTATTTATGTTTCTTTTTACCAACATCTAAAGAGAACTAAAAACCTTCCACTGTGAAAATCATTTGTTACAATCAAAACAATGAGTATTATTTTTGATCATATAGATCTGTAAAATATACGCAGAAAATCAAGTTCATAGAGGATTTCCTAGTACAAAAGAAAAAAAACAATATCTTCAAAGATCAAAAAAATGTAGTAAGTTCTATGATATAACCAAAGGACAAAGTGACCAAAATATGTATTATATAATTGGTTAGAGAAAAAAGTATCTTTCAGTACGTTTAGAGGAAAAAACATACAAAACTATAAATAACTAACAACATCGATTACATAATTTAGAGATTTTATATTGACTTTTTTTTACGAGTTGATTGTGTAAATGGTACTATTTATACATAAATTCGATTTATTAATAAAATTAATTCATTATATTTACAAATACAAAAAAAAAATAATTATTGGAATGTTTCGCTTGTATTATATTCATACATACGAATAAAAATTGAATAAAGCAAAATATATCTACAGTAACTTTGCTAATAAAAAGCAACCACGTACATGAGAAAAAAAAAAGAAGATTCTATCAATGAGATTATAAATCAATAGAGAAAGAAAAAAACAACAACAACGCTCCTTTGATGGCAGAATAGATTAGTTCATTTACGCAATTGTTTACAAAAATTTGAGGCAACATGACATCCTTTAGTAATAAATTTATTTTTGTATGCATCAGATTTTTTTCTTGCTAACATTGATGATGATGGTATATGATAATTTTGTAATGGTAAATAATTAACACCATCTGGCATTGAACGTGATGCTTGTCGAGTCCATTTATCATGTCCATTTATACGAACTAATTCAAGATACCAAGAAAACATTTGAGTACGATCAGCAAAACGAAATGATATTCCAAATGGTAATTCAGTATGATTTATTTCATTTATTTCAGGAGGTAATATCGTTAATACTCGATATTGATTCATATCAAATGGATCAACAAAACGAATATCAGCTCCAATATAAAGATAAATATCTTCAACAGACCATGAATAGATGTATGATTGTTGTTGATCAAATTCTTGTTGATTGAAATTTGACCTGGCTTTAAGTACTCTTTCATTAATATTATTTGAGATTCGATAAATTTTAAGCTAACGAAAATCAAACAAAAGAAAAAAAAATCTATTTTATTTCTTCATTGATTTTTTTTTTTTTGAGAATGATTAAAGTAGGTAAACTTTTCCTTCTGTTTTAAAAATTACAGTTAATCGTTTAAAAAAACAACACGATTGTTACGTGTAATTTTTAAGGGAAATTTTCTCACCTTTTTTTTTTCCTTCGGAAAGGGAAAAAGAATATACCAATGCAAAGTATATTAGACATCTACGTCTTTATATTATTAACGCATATTCTAAAAATATATATGCTGCGACTTTTAATATTTTCATGATAAAAATGAGTGTTTTTGAATATAAGTTACCAGAAATTTTTTTGGCCATGTTAGGGCAAAATCAAGAAGACAAAGAAAAGAATTTTTTTCCATTGAGCAATAAAATATTAACAAGATAGAAGTAATACGAAGCATAAGTGTATCCAAATAGCTGACTAATTTTTAAAAGTCTATTATATAGAAGAATTAATAAATAAAAGTGCTCATTGTATAGTCAAAAATTCAAATGTATAATGAAAATTTCCGGTATTAGACCAATGAGAATCATCCACGATAGATTTACTAGAAAAAAAGTACTCAAATATGCATCGTTTTTTACATGATATAAAATAAAAGATACAATTGCGTCAAATAATGTATTCCTTTTAAGATATATCTTATCTTATTAAGTACGTCTTATTGAAACTAGAACAACAAATCTAAAAGAATTTACGTCTCTGCCTCATTTGTCTTGAGGTACAGTTATTTTCTCACTAGAAGTAATTCGTCATGAAAACGACAGATTTTCTACTATTCATTTCAAAATATAATCTACTTCACTCATTTTTTTGCATAACATTTGATAGAAGCATCATAGAGACCTGCAGCTTGCAGCATTCTGAGCGAAGAGACTCAGAATGATCGAAGTGTATAGACCTAATAGAACTAGTCGATGGAAAAAATTCTTCTCATTTAACCTACACAAAGCCGACTTTTCTAACTTTTTCCATTCAAGAGTTACAAGATTTTCGATAATACTTTCGATTTCAGCCAATTGACTTGTGATCACCAGGACAAACAGCTAGACAGGCATAGTTCACCGTACTGAGTCCAATGATGATTATTTGTTTTTAACTTCAAAATAATCTGACTCTTCTATTACACTATTTCTGAATCGACATTTCAAAAGTATTGAGATAATAGTATCAGGTCAGTTCGAACCAAAAAACAAATATTCACATGTGACTCTGCACAATGAATCACTCATGTTTAGCTGCCTTTTTTTTCGGTGACCACAGATTAATTGGCTTACATCGAAGGTATCAGGAAAAGTCTTATAACTCTCGAACGAAACAAGGTAAGAATGTCAATATTGCGAAAAATCGATGGAGAAGAATTTTTTTTTATCGATTAGTTCTATCAGAAGTTTTAATCGAAAAAGAAATGGCTTTAGAATATCGTTATCTAAAATCTCCATCAAGAATTCATCTAATTAATCAATAGCTAGCTTCGAGTCCTTTCTCTTGAATGATAAAAATCGCATGTCTATGATGTTTGAATGAAAAGTTAATCAGAAAAAAGTGAAGCATATTCTATTGTGAAATAAACAACAGTTCTATCGAGATGGTTATTTGTACAACATTTAAATGTGAAGGCTGATTTTGAAAGTGATCTCCATGCCAGTACCATGTTATTCTATTAATAAAGTCATTATAATAATCATAACTCAAGGCGACAAACCCATAACTAAGAATTCTTTCAGACTTTTTCTGATTTGACAAAAGCTGACTTGATGATATAGAAAAACTCTTTTCAAAAGTGATTTATCATTTGGTGAGATTTCTTCGTAAGTAGATCAGATCTAGTAGTATAAAAATTTTTCAATTTATGATTGAACCTTGAGTAATTTATCAAATAAAAAAAATTTGATAATAAATTCAATCGATAGTGGTTTCATTTTTTATATAAAACAGTTCAGATTCCGAATATAAATATTTTTCATGAGTTGAATGATTCATATTTTTAGGAAAACTTTCAAGAGCAAAGCTGTCATGAAGATTTGTTTCGGCTTGTTGAAACATGAACACAGAAAATTGCTTTTGATACAACAGGGATATAAAAGTGATCTGTTTAGTGTTGGTCTAGGTCAGGAAATTTATTTCTGTTTTATATGATCTTCTATTAAAAAGAAAGTACTTGATCCAACTTAATCCAATCCAAGCGTAAAAATATCGATATCATTTAGATATTATTTTATGATTTAAATGAATCCCTGGATCCAACCTAATGCTCAACTAGAAATTATATTCGTTCAATTGAATGTTTAAAAATGAATTTTATCAATACGTAATATTTATCCTACTGGCTAATTGTATCATAGAATGCAATAGTGTTAGATCTCATTTTGTTTTTCATTTCTTTTGCTTGTCGATCAATTATAAAAAAAACTCACCACTGCTCTTTCAAATATCCATACACATGGTGTCCAACGTTCATTTAGTGAATCAAAATATTCACATTGAACTGATTGATTATTAGATATTTGTTGTCGTTGTTGTAAACGTTCTTTTTCAAATTGAAGATAATTAAGTTTAACAACAAATGTTGCTTGTAGATTCAATTCATGTGATAAATATGTTCGATAACGATATAAAGCTTCTGCTATATTTTCACATGAATACATTGGTCGTTCGAGACTTTGATCAATAATTACTTCAAATAAAGCCCAAAAGAAACAATCATGTTTATCAATTTGTTTTAATAATTTCTCAATAATTATATCAGCTGTTGTTTCTTTTTCAAAAATATACATTGCATAACCATTATATGCATCAGCACGAGATTCAAAATAAACTGAAACAAGTGCACCATCTAATTTACGTGGAATTGATGGATTATTACGTATTGATACTAATGTTTCTATACATATTCTTTCATGTTCGAATTCATCATCAGTTACATCAAATAATTCACGATAATATTTACAAAGATTAGTCATTATTTCAAAATTTGCTTGGATCGATGGAGCAACATGAATATAAGCTGGTGATAATTGAAATTGAGATAATGTTGAAATCGATGATAAAGACTCACGAGAAGCTAGAAATAGAAAAAAAAATTTAAATTGACGTGGAAATCCCTCTTATAAAAGAAATGATCTAGAAAAATAACATATCATCAACGGAAACTTCAGATGTAATGATATGTTTTAAGAAATGTCTATACAGAAAGATCTCTATTCTATCTGAAACTTTCAACCTATCACTAGAACCATTAAAACAATATATAGGTAAAACTTGAGGTCTCATTCAATTTTTATCGAAACAACAGTTAATATATTAGTTTCGTGGTAACATAAATATCGTTGCAAAAGAAAACTATCATTCTTACTATGAAAAGAACGGTTTCGTTTAAGTTTTCCTAATGATGGACTAGCAGTAAGATTTGATAAGCCTTGTTGATTAAGTTCATTTTGATTTCCAAAACGTTTCATATCTATA